CTATTCATTGGTAAAAGAGTAGCCCAAGAGTTGGCGGTGGGTTGTGATGACTAGCTACATTCTCTCTAGTCTTACACTGCAAAATTAGGGATGGCTAGCACAGATAGCCCTCGTGTCAAATTCAAAACAAACCAAACCAAACCACTTCACTAAACATCTCTCATGGCAAATAATGAAGTTCCTGGTCATATGGAAATGGACTTGGTCATGCTGACTGTTGGTAAAACTAGTGGTGGTCAATACACTAAAGCTGTTTACCCCTACCCCAGGATTCAAACTGTGGATGTGAAATTTTTGTGTCTAATTCTTGCAACAAAAACCTTGATTATGAAAAATATGGATGAGTTTATGAACTCCATCCACAAAATCTTATAATGATGAGCAACTTCTGTTGTATCTAGTAAGTTGTGAGTAATAAACATCGTGATATAACTTGTTTAAAATTTTCATAGTTTGGAGTGGAAAGTTTATAACTTCGAAATTAAAAATGTCTGTTTTACTTGAAGACTTTAAAGTTGAATGCACGATTAATGATGGTGATATCTAAATCTAAACACTGTTCTTTATTTGAAGTGGAAGAACTCTTTTTTTCTAGAGTGAGCTCTAGTGGATACATTTGTAAGACCGTATTGAAAATGTTTATAATTTGATATTAGAATATCATCTAAATATAGATATATATCTGCAAATTTGACCACTGTGTAAAGCTTTACTGTAGTCTGTCTTAATAAGATTTGTAATGTATGAAAATTCTAGTTTAAATAATTACAGATTAGCAAATTACAGGCTAAAGCTACCTCCCATTGGAATTCCCTGTATCTGTTTGAAGACATATTGACCAAATTGCATAAATGTATTATCAAGTAAAAAATTAATGGCTTGTAATAATACATTTAATGTGTAGCTGTTGTAATTTTTGTGAGCAAGATTGTTGTGGAAAGTTCTGTGTTTAGTGATGGAGAGAAGTTATTTACTTGAATTGTTGAAAGATCACGTAATTATTGGTGAAAGAATTTTTAATTTTATCAGTGGGAAGACTTGTGTAAAGATTACTGAAATCAAATGTTTCTACTGTTATAGTTTCAAATCCTTGAATTGCCAATAATTATACACATATTAATATTTGTTCTTTCAGTTATAACATTGTTTTTGTTTTACTCAAATTTATACCAGAATCTGATAAAGCTGAAATGATTAATGATTAAATTAGTTTTAAATGTTTATAAACTTTGTTAACTGAAGGTTTTAAGGTATTCAAAGTAAACTCTAGTTCTTTACATAGAGTTATAAAACTTTTTACAAATCAAAATACAATTGTTAGCTGCTTTATCTGAAGGAGAGATGATGTATCTCATGTATAAATAATCTAATTAAAAACCCTTAGGTGTGAAAAAAAAGTGCGACCAAAAAGGATTGAGCATGCAACTCAAAGGAATGAAATCAAAATTGGTAGTCAAAC